TATGCATTTTAAACGACGTAATAAGCTTTTGAGAAGAGAAGAATGCATCCCTTTGCTTATAAATGTAAATTCTGTGAGGAATTCAGTTCTAAAAAGGAAGCTGCTTCTCTCTGCCTGAGAAATAGAGAGTCCATCGAGCCCCTATAAAAGCAAGGACCCCACTTTCTGATCGTGAAGGGCCACTTTATTTGTTCATTGTTTCTGTTAAACTAAATGCTACTTTTACCTTTCTCCAGTTACCTGGACATTCTTCTGGTTAAGTCACATTAAATATTCATGTTAAGCCAAGTAACCTGTTTTGAATGTTAGAAACCCTTCAACATGGCTAATTTACTAAATAACCTCATGTCCTCTGGCTCCCACATCACATTCTTGGGTAGCCTTCAGATACAATTTGATCAGTCGACGTAAGACTGTTTTGACATCCTGCTTATCTCCCTGCAGAGCCTGGACCTGATGCCGAGGCTCCTCTCCCCTTAAATCACTAGCAGGGATATGACTTCATCTGTTTACTGTGTGTTGGAGAATCTTCAGTGTGCCCCCAGAATAAGGGCAAATCCAGACCCGGGAGAGTTGGCTGCTCTGCTGAGCGAGGGCCAGTACCCAGGCCAGCCCAGAAGGTTGCATGGGAAGGACACCGGGTCTGTGCAGGAGGTGATGGCTACCATGACCTGGGAGTCCCTTCTCCTCTGCCAGCTGTCTCAGGAAGTTAGTCTTTGCTCTCACCCATTCTTTTGTGAGCCAAGTGCTTTGTTTCACATGCCTCCAACCCCATCTTTTTCTGCAAGTGAAATAAATTTAAAATAAATACCTGGTAGGGGAAAGCTGCCAGAAAGGCAGCTGAGAAGAGCAAGGAAGAGGGACACAGGACCCTTACTCTGCTTGGATTCCTAGAGACTCTATGGCAGCCGTGGGCAAACTATGGCCCACAGGCCGGATCCTACCCGTTTGAAATGAATAAAACGAAAAAAAAAAAAAAAAAAGACCGTACCCTTTTATGTAATGATGTTTACTTTGAATTTATATTAGTTCACACAAACACTCCATCCATGCTTTTGTTCCGGCCCTCCGGTCCAGTTTAAGAACCCATTGTGGCCCTTGAGTCAAAAAGTTTGCCCAACCCTGCTCTATGGGCTAAATGCCTCAGGCCTCTTTAAGGCATCTTAGATAAGCCTCATCTGCACCATCCCCTTTTCATACCCTCCCACCCCCCTTACAGCTGTGATAGAGGAAGGAGTCCCCTCTATCAACAGATCATCCTGGGCTTTCTTGGTGCTCAGTGGAAAGAGTTACCCCTTTGGGGCCAGGTATTAATGGCAGAAACCATGGCAAACATGCTGACCCAGAGGCCCTGCAGCACCCAGCTGGTCATGCAGCCTGCTGGCGTGGCGACCTAATTGACCATCCAAGGTCTTGCCATCTCGGGTTAGCTTTCATAACCCTGCAAAACATTTCTCTTCCAAAAGATAAAGAGCACATTTTAACGAATTACTACACACACATATATATATATTTTATTGATTTTTTACAGAGAGGAAGGGAGAGAGATAGAGAATTAGAAACATCGATGAGAAAGAAACATCGATCAGCTGCCTCCTGCACATCTCCCACTGGGGATGTGCCCGCAACCCAGGTACATGCCCTTCAACCGGAATCGAACCTGGGACCCTTCAGTCCGCAGGCCGTTGCTCTATCCACTGAGCCAAATCGGTTTCAGCTAAGGAATTACTACTTTTAAGCAAGGACAATTCAGGACTGATGGATATTTTAGGATTAAGATACTACCAACTCATTCTAAACTGTGATCTGTTGGAGTTCTACATTCACCTCATAGCTGACTTGCATGACAAGAAATGAGACTACAGTGGGGCCTTGACTTACGAGTTTAATTCGTTCCAAGACCGAGCTCGTTAACTCAAATTACTCTATCAATTCAATGCAAAAAATCTGCCGAGAGACAGCTGGTATCTCAAAAAACTCGTTAGTCGGGACACTCATAAGTCAAGGCCCCACTGTATAGGGTTTTGTGTAGAATTACATAGATGAGTGTTCAAACCAGAGGCAGTCAAAATGATGGATTCTTCCCACAATGAAAACAAAATGTTGGTTAGATTTCTAGGTAAAAATGCCCTTTCAACCTTCAAGATGGATTGAGATCCCCCAACAAGACGGAGATGGAAAGAGCATTACTGCTCAGTGCATTCCCCAAATCTGATTCCTTGAGAGTTCAAGAGCACTAATACTACTACATTCTGGGACCAGTAATACCATCTTTGCACCTGTGACCAATTCTTTGCTGTTTTCCAAGTATTATCAAATCTATTATCTCGTTTGACCCTCATGCTGTCCTGCGGGGTGTTCACACATTCATTTATTCATTCATTGAATCGTTATTGGATGCCTTCTCAGGCGGCTGCACCCTGCCAGGCTAGCAGGGCTTGAAGACTGATGCTCATTTCCTAAATGAGCAGCTGAGGTCTGGACAGTTGTTAGGTGGTTGGTCCCACATTCCAAGGCTAGTGGGGGCAGAGTCAGGACAAGACCAGAGAGCTTTCAGATCCCTGCACTCTCTTCTGTCCCCTCCCCCTCCCTCACCCTCCTGTGCTCAGCCAGCCACTGAAACCACCATCCTTTAATCACCAGTTATGCACCTTCTGCTCTGCAGAGACTGAGACGCCAGGATGACATTGATGTTATTAGATTATTTGCACATGAGTCTGCATTATGACAAGCCATGAAAAGAATGTCAAACACAAGAGGGAAAAAGACAGCAAACCTGAGTGCTCACAGGCCAAGTACCTGGGAGCTGGTGTCTGCAATGCAGCCAGCCTGGCATGAAGGAGCACTCAGTGAGTCCTGGATGGGTGGTGTTTCTATCACTCTTGTTCCCGTAATGGGTGCTCTCCGATCTCCATTTATCCCATAGACTGGCCCACACTCTCCTTTCCCTCTGGAAAGAAAGCTGACGGAAGCCCACAGCACACTGATTACTCACAAGTAAGGGGTCACTCTGGAATGCCCAGGCCCTTCTGCTCCCGTCTGGTGAGAATCATGCTTCCTGCACTTCAGTCCTGAGAGTGTGCGCTGATCCCGTTGTAATTAGAAAATTACCTGCTCCATTAACTGGTCAAAAATGAGGTGGATAAGCATGAAAATTATTTCTGTGAAAACTGTTACATGCTTGAGAACTAACTTGGTAACTGGTGGGAGCAGAAAGACATAAGCATGCTAGGAAGCAAGCCCCTAGCTTCGAGTTCACTGTATGTTAGGAGCACCTGTCAGTATGTTTCAGAGGGAACAGAGAATGTGGGCCTATCGAGCTAGTTGGTGAATGGAAATACTAACTGACCTCCCCCATGTTGCCTGGTGGGGGGGGGAGGGGGCGGGATTATTAAGCAAATACAACCCCACCCCCACTACCCATCTTGGAATATACCCCATACGAATGTCTAAGGGAGAAATAGCATGAGTCACAAATCTTCCCATGTGACTTTTGGTTTGTTGCTCACATTTGAAATCCCAGCATTTTCATGGGCCACTGTGCCTCAGTCCTGGCTTCCCTGCAGGTACCCTGTGGGGGAAGGGAAGGGTCCCCACAGGAATAGCCTGTGTGCCATTGGTATTTATTAGACCATCCAACACATGCCTTCCCCATTTGGAGAGGATCTCTTCACATGGGCTGGCGACAGAACCAATTTTATTTCTGTGAATTATTATCAGGCTTTGTCACAATAGAGAAGAAGGAAGGTGAGGAAGCTCACCTCCCCTGGGCAGGCATCGGTCCTGCTTGTGATGCTGAGTGTTGGGGGCAGTTCTGTGTCTCCTTGGTTTGTGGCATTTAGTTTCAGTTCAGAGCATCAGTCTTTAAAATAGAAGAAGCATAAGAGGTAGCAGGTTTCCTAGCATTTGTTGACCCTCCTATTTGTTTTTCAAAAGGCCCGTTAATTAAAGACTAGCTAAATCTGCTCACTCGCTGGCTAAATCTGCTCACTTGGGAAGAACACTCCTCAACAGTCAAAAGGAAAGTGATTTATAGGATTCAATTTTTTCCCCATTTTAGTCTTCTGAATCCCCCTCCCCCTCCCCCGGGTTTAAAAAAAAGTCAAGGAAATTGATTAACCTCTGCTGAATATGAACCCGAGTGGCCCCATGGCCCTCTAGGCTGAGCCATTAGGGACCTCCAGGGAAGGTGGGAGGTGGGCATCCAGGGTGACAGAGGCCTCAGAGCAAGAGTGGTCAGAGAGCAGGCTGGGCTGAGGGGGGCTCCAGGAGCCTCACAGGTGACAACCTTCCCTCCAGCCCTCACTGCCCTTCCTGATACACTGGCACATAGCAGGACCGTTGGCTGTTTGCTGCACAGGGATCACAAGTGGGCACAGGAACCCTTTTGTAGCATCTGAATCTTGTCTGTGATTCTACAGTCCCGGTGCCTTCCTGCTAGTATTCCCAGAGTTCTGTGTGGCAAGGGACAAAATTTGAGTGGGGCCCATTGCCCGGCTTATCTCCCCTTGTCTTCACCCTTCTCTTCTCTCTTGTTCCCTTGCCTTCTGTCTCTCTCCCTTCTTCCTGGGCCTGTCAGGCCTGCTGAGAGGACGGATAAAGAACTCCTGGGTGGCCCTAACAGGTTTGGCTCAGTGGATAGAGCATCGGCCGGCAGACTAAAGGGTCTCAGGTTCGATTCCGGTCAAGGGCATGTACCTCGGTTGCTGGCACATCCCCAGTAGGGAGTGTGCGGGAGGCAACTGATCAATGTTTCTCTCCCATCGATGTTTCTAACTCTCTATCCCTCTCCCTTCCTCTCTGTAAAAAAAATCAATAAGATATATTTTTGAAAAACCCACAAACCTCCTGGGTGTGCCCGGTGCATGTAGGAGACCTGTCGGTGAGGAGAGGCCGCCCTCGCCCCTCCATTCATTGGGAAACTTCCCTTTCACAAGACCCCGTTCTCACCACGAATGGATGACTCACCTCTGCGTGTTCTCTCTTCCTCTCCCCTGTAGGAAATGTGACTGGAAACAGTAACTCCACGTTTATTTCCAGCGGGCAGGTGATGAATTTCAAGGGGGACATCATCGTGGTCTACGTCAGTCAGAACTCCCAGGAGGGCCCGGCGGGGCCGGGCGGTGGCGCTGGGGAGCCGGTGGGTCACCCGGTGCAGGAGGAGAGCCCGCCGTGCTGCGACTCGTTCGCGGGCCTCGGGCCGCGCTTCCCGGACACGTGCAGCGCCCCGGAGCCCGACAAGGCTTCGCGGCCGGTGCAGGAGCAGGGAGAGGCCGAGGCCCGCGCGCCCGGGGCGCAGCGCTGAGCGCCCGCTGCCCGCTGTGGCTCTCGGCGCTGCTCGGATCGGGGATGCCGCCGGATCAGCCGCGACCTCCCGGCCGTCAGCCCACCCTCCGCAGCCCACCCTCTGGCCATCGGCACCACAGGGACCTCGTACCTGCCTGGAGGTGCGGGCCGCGTGGGCCACGAGCACCTGCACCTGGGCTGGGGGCGGGGCACGGCCCGGGATCGGCCTGCACGCTGCTCCATGCGGTACATCTGCGTCCAGTTACCTGACATTTCCCACCCACCGTGCTATTCGTTGAATCGGGGCTTTTTAAAAACGCAAATGTGTTTTCACCACCCATTGGCGTGCAGTCACATACCAGCTGATGACTCAGGTACACGTTGCTCTAATTCGGTTGCTCCACTTTTTACTCCCTTTTATGGTTTTCCTCTCTCCCTCCTCCCGCCCAATCCCATTATCATTTCGTCAGTAGCCTGTCTCTTTAGGACATGTTTTTATGGCGGCCCTGTTGTATTGGATCTGGGCTTTTCCCCTCTTGTATTTGTATTTCACTTAATCTCATAACATTTTTCTTGATAGCCCCCACCTCCACCCCCCCCCATACTTTTTTTTTTTTTTTTTTTTTTTTACTATTAAGGATTTTTCTTGAATTCTCTCAAGGGTGATGGTCTTTGTGTATTATCTGTTGCGCCCCTTCTCACCAGTACCTACCTGTGTTTCGGAAATGCCTGGGGTGAGGGTTGGAGAGGTGGGGGGAGTGTTGGGGTCTGTACTAAGCACTTTTGGGAAAAGGTTAGAAATGTGAAGTCTGAAGGGAGGCTCAGGGAACAAGTGGAGGGACTTTTCGTTTTTGAGAACATTTCTGAATTCCCGTTTTTCTAAAAGAGGGAAAAGGGGAAACTCCTTTTCTCCTCTGAATGTTTTTATGTTTTGTCCATCGTTAGGCAGAGCTGAGTTGTAGTGTGCATCCTCCTCCCCTGCACCCTCCCCACATGTTCATCCCCGGGGGGAGTTTATTTGCCCCTTCCAGCAGAGGCAGCCAGGTCCTGCTGTAAATCCCTAAAGATGCGGGCTACTGCAGCTTTGCATTCTTATTCTTGATGTCTCTCAGGGAAAATATGTGGAACTGAATAGGGCTCGGAGATAGCCTGCACAGAGCGAAAAGAAGGTGCTAGGGAAGCTCAAGAAAGCAAGCATCAAGTTGAAAGTTAATATGCATTTTCTTTCTCTAGACCAGAGTGGCATAAATGCATTTAGGCAACAGGCCTTATTTTCTTCCTAAGTAGAACTTAGCCTCGCAGAAGTGGACGACACTCTGCTATTTTCCAGTGCATTTCAATTAAAAAACAAATCCTCCTCTGGTGGATTGAGGAAACTGTATCATACAGGTAGTATTCTCTTAGCATCAGTCCTCTTGTTAGGAAACATACAGTGTGAGTCAGACTGAAGGGAGTTACCTGGGTTGTTCCATCTGTTGTGGTCAATGAGTATTTGTTCTCAAATACTAGAGAAAAGTTAAAGTACCTAAAATTAATTTTTCAGGTCTGATAGGTTTTCAGAGTGCTAACCGTGGTCACTGTCCACACTCTAATGGCCTGGCTAAAGGGAATGGCCACTGATCACGGGTTTCTCCCATCGATTGTAGTTCTCTTGGAAATGCCGCAATGGTAGCAGTCAATTATGACTTTTAATGGAGAAGCAGAGGGGGGCTTTATAATTTATGGGATTCCTTAGCGGGTGGAAAAAATTGCAAGAAGAAACTGCCAGGATGATCAGTTGGTGGGAATTTCCTGTCTGTTCTGCCCTTTTAGTTAACATTCATCCAAAGAGATGTTATAAAATGGGAGAAACCATTATACCTTTTGAGATGGAATATATTAAACAAAGTAGAGTTCACAAAGTAGGATGCTGAGCTAAAAACCCAAGTTTCCGCCGTGACGTCATCATCCCACTGATATTACTTTACCTTTCTGTGCTTTCATTTTTCTTCCTAGGAAAAGGCACTAATGATAATTTTTGACACTCTCCCTACCCAGAGATAACAAAAGGATGAGCTCCTTACAAAAAGGGTGCTAAACAATTAAGAATCTACTTTCAGAGAAAGGTAGTATTCGCATTCTTTCCCACACTGACCCCGACTAATTCTGTATTGACCCAAAGACAATTCATGATAGGAAATGTATAGCAATTGTAAGTCTGCCTCTGTGTATTATAGAGATGTATGTGACAAATGTAAAAAGAATGCAATGAAGACAACAATGAAAACTTGTTTGGGGGAATGTGATAAAGAGATTATTAAATGTAATATTTGACCATAGGAGAGTTCTTTCGTGGTTTGCTTAAACAGGGCTCTTTGTTAAACAACCATCTGTCTTATTCCTGATCTCTGTGGTATGCTCTGGTGTTCAATGTTGGCTATGTTGTGTCTTATTGGTGGGACCCGTGACAACTGAGTTGGGACAGAACACGACTTGCTTGCCTTGATGACATATCTGCTGTTGATCTCATAAGAAATGTTTGTAAAACATGGAGTTGAAAGGGAAATGGAGCCTGATAGTTCCTACCCATATTTAACACAAATACCAGAAAAAGGAAAAAAAATCAAATTTTCTCTGTACCTATATGCACAAAGAGCAATTTGAATGTGCTGTAGTGGGACCTTCCTATGGTGGGGCAGAGAGGGCTCTTGCTATGAAACAAACCACCCAGAACTTAGCGGCTTAAAACACTACCATTTATTTAGTTCACAAGTCTGCATTGGCTCAGCGTGGTTGGTTCTCCAGGCCTGGGTCAGCCCCGCTGGGCTTGCTCCCATGTGCAGTCTGCAGGCTGCATGGGTGTAGGCTGGGCCAGGCTGAGCCCTCTCCAGATGGACCCTCATCCTCCCAGAGGGCTAGGCTGGCCATGTGCTGATGGTGGTGGCGAGGTTCTGAGAGAGCAAACAAAAGCATGTCAGGGCTTTTGAGGCCTAGGCCTCACTCTGCCACATTCTCTTGGCCAAAGTAAGACACAGGGCCACCCAGATTCAAGGGCTGGGAAACAGCCCCACCTCTTGATGGAAGAGTTGCACAGTGACATTGTGAGAGGGATGCATACAGGAGGGGAAGAATGGGGCCCTTTTTGCCATCTGTCTACCTCAGGTGCATTGCTCAGAATAAATTGGTGCAGGGAAGAGGGTGCACCTAAGTAGGAGAGGAACCGTAATAAGTGGTTCCTTCCTTGGTGGTGCAGAGTACGGTGCATTCCTACAACCGAGAGATACCACATTCATGTTAAGTACTGAAATTCCTTCCAAAGCCAAGTACATGGTTGGGGAACTGGGTCTACAGTACTGCTGCATAAAGCAACTGTATTTGTAAAGTTGAGGAGATCAATGAGATATTTTGGGTGGAGGAACCTGTTACATAAGTAAAGGATGTCCTTTTACCCTTTGTGCTGATTCAATAGACAAACCATATTGTTAGGTGCTGAGCAAAAGGGTGAGCTTCAGCAAAAGTTCTGTCTTTGATGGAAGAGGCAAAATTTTGGAATATTTGCTCTTTGACAGTCTCTGAGGGAACATGACTACCCTTGGCCATCTTCTTTGGGGAGCTGTGGGGTGCTCTGGGAGCTGTGGAGAAGGCATAAAGCATTTAAAGCCCTAACATTCGATTGGTGAGTCATTATTTTTATTGAGGGTGCTTTTGACACTTGGGCCCTGAGCATCCCTGAGAATGGAGAGCAGATAGCTAGAGAGGCCTTGGGAATCTAGGGATGTCCCAGAGAACTAGGAAACACGGTGGACGTTGCTCTGCTCTAGGGCACCAAACAAGGCTGCTTGGAAAGGGTTATCTGTGGAATTCCTCCTGACAACTCCCTCCCCTCCCAAGCTGTGTTTGAACAGACTACCTTGCACCTACTACAGAGGAGGGGACCTGAAATTGGGCTGTGGTGGGACCAGCAGCAAGCACAAGCAGCAGGCACAAGCGTGTCAGGTGATATCACTGAAGCCAAGTCCACAGGTGCAGGGGAGCACAGAAGCACAAAACCCTGGACCGACTTTTCCACATCAGTATCCTTGATTTTCTCCCCCCCCCCCCCAACCCTCCTCAGCTCAGGAAGGATAATATATATTGGCCACCAGCTTAGAAAAAGTGGCATTGTAGGCCCAAGCCCTTTTGGGAGGGGATTAGAGCCCAGTAAAAGCCCTCTGACCCAGGCTCTTGATTTCTCATGGGCATCTGTAGCCCAGGAAACAAGCTCTTACGAGTTGCCTTAATTTAGGCAGAGGCAGTAAAACGTCTGAGCCTAAAATGGAAAAGCAAATTCATATTTATTGGCTTTTATTTCAATGACAAAGAAACCATGAAAAGAAAATACATATTTAACACTCTTAAAAGAGTTTTTTCTAAATACTATATCAGTGGAAAAATAAGCATTATTTCTTTCATCAGGTTTATTACGTTTATGATTTATATCCAGTAAGATTCACCCTTGTTAGGTGTACATTATTATAAGTTTTAATAAAAATAAGTCGTTGTGTAACCACCATCACCACAAAAGTTCCCCTGTTTTGTTTTGTAGTCAGTCCCTTCCCTACTATCCCCAACCCCTGGCAACAACTACTTATTCTCTGTCCCTATAGTTGTGGCTTTTCCAGAATGTCATATGAATGGAATCATTCAGTTGGTAGCCATTTGAGTTGGCTTATTCCAGCATAATACCCTTGAGATCCATCCAAGTTGTTGGGTACATCAATGGTTAGTTCCTTTTTAGTGCTGCATAGTATTCCATTGTAAGGATGTACCACAGTTTATATGTTCACCAACATTTGAATTCTTTCCAGTTTGAGTAATTAAAAATAAAGCTGCTATAAAAACTGGTGTGGCATGAGTTTTCATTTCTTTTAAGAGTGAGGTTGTGGGGTCATATGGTAAATGTTTAATTCTAAGAGAAACTTCAAAATTGTTTACCAAAGTGACTGTACCATTTTGCATTCCCATCAGCAGTGAATAAAAAATCCAGTCATTCCACTTCCTTGTCAGCACTTGGTATTGTAAGTTGTTTAATTTTAGCCATTCTAACAGATGTATAGTATCTCACTTTAATTTGCAGTGCATGATTGAGCATCCTTTTTTGTTGTTACTTAGTTTTTATTTCATAATCATAAACGTAACTCTTCAATTCAGCTAGACTTGGAGACGGGGTAAGGAAAATATGGAACCCAATGAACTGAGGCGAGCACACGAAGATTAATGAACATTCCAACAGATGGGTGCTCTCCTGAACTACAGAGAAATGGTTTGGTAGTTAAGATAAAATACAAGTCAAATTTATTAGAGTTGTCCACAGTCAACAATGGTGACCTTCTTGCTGCTCTTGCCATTCCTGGAGCCCAGTGCTCTATGGCTGTCACAATATCCATGCTTTCTTTCACCTGCCCAAAGACCACATGCTCGCCTTCCAACCACTCAGTCTTGGCCGTGCAGATGAGAAACTGGCAACTGTTTGTGTTAGGTCCAGCATTTGCCATGGAGAAGATGCCAGGACCTATATGCTTCAGGATGAAATTCTCATCAAATTCCTCCCCATAGATTGCCTTGCTGCTTATGGCTTGTGAAGTCACCACTCTGGCACATAAATCCCACAATATTTTGTGAAAGCAGGAACCTTTATAACCAAACACTTTTCCCCCAGTGCTCAGACATGAAAGCTTTCTGCTGTGTTTCGAACTTTGTCTGCAAAGAGGTAGAAGGAGACACGGCCAAGGGCTCCACTTGATGGCAATGTCGAAGAACATGGTGGGGTTCACCATGGCTGGGCACGGGTGCCTCTGGGGTAGCAGCATCTGCAAAGCCCTGGGCATATTTTTATATGTTTATTTGGCCATCTTTAGCTCATATTTGGCGAAGTGTGTGTTCAAATATTTTGCTCTTTTTTAAATTGGTGGTTCATTTTCTTATTGCATTTTGAAAGTTCTTTATTCTGGATATGAAAATGTATAGGTTTTTAGGGTCTTTCTGTTTCAATGATGCAGAAGCCATGGGGGGAAAAAATACATATTTAAAGCTTTTAGAGCATTCTGTATTTAGTACTATTACTGAAAAAATAAAGACATTATAAATTTTCATTTAAAAAATGAAGTTTCAGGAGCTATGCACCAGTAACATTTATTCAGAGTAAATGGTTCCACAGTAAATTCTCTTTTCACAGTGGGGCTGCCAGTGTCAGGGACCAGAGCCACTGTCGGCTCTGTGGACTGCCGTGTCCTTTCTAGAAGGTTTTATTGACTCAGCAGCCAGCTTCTGGGCAGCACGTTCACCCATGGAAACTTGCTCCACTCTGAGCTGTCATTTGTCACTGAGCCAGAGCCGCTCACCACGACAGTAGCCTCTGCTCTTGGCCTTAAATTCCTGTTGTAGATAATCCACTGTGACTGCCTACGGGGAAGGAGCAGTAACAGCAACCACTGATGATCCTATCGTAGGAAGAAGACAGGAATGTGAAGTTCACTCAAGATAAAAAGAGAGCCCCACTTTTCATCAGTTAGTTAACACGCAGGCAAACACTATCATTTGTTGAAGCAATCTGCAAAGTGATTTACACGCATGTTATCTCATTTAATCATCACAGAAAATCCACTAGGTGACTAGGGTCAGAGAGGTTAATGCACAGAGCTAGTATGTGGAGGTTGCACCCAAAGCCCAGGTGTGTGTCCCTGCCCACTGTTACAATGGCTAGCTGGTCAAGTCTACACCTTGCTCCCTCTTTTCTTCTGTTCCCAGCTATAGCAAAATGATGTTGAACTGATGTGGGTAGAGAAAGTCAATGTGGGAATATTTTGAAAATACTCCAAACTTTTCTTTATTATAACCAGACTTAGTTTCCCAAATTCAATAGTGAGCCCTAAAACTTGCATTAGACACTTTCTATCGTAAGCATACAGTCTTTTGCCCTCAAAGAGCTTCTGTGAATAAGATGATACTGATTATCATTTGTAGCTCCTGGAGCAAGTGCAGGTTCATGTACAATGTCAGAAGGAGGAGCAACGCCCCCCCTCAGGGGAGCTGACGAGCGTTTGTCCAGTATTGCATCCTGCTGGCTGCATGCTTCAGGATCTGTGTCAATGATTATATATTTATTACAGCATTTGTTGTAATGAAACAGCCGTTATGACATGGTTGAGAGATCTTTAAAGTCAAGCAAACAGATACAAACCCAGCAGTTTCTTGGCACATCGTGTTCGGGCATCCATGAATGGCATGGGCGATGAACAACAGACATGGGATGGAGGTAATTTTCCAGGAGGGGCAGATGGTGGTCACTGTTCTCCCAGAGCCCTACAGTCAGTCATGGGCCTGTCAACCGAGTACCTCTGTGTCCTGCTCAGACAGAAAGACACCTGTAGCACAGACTCTGCACTAGTTATTTGAAGAGCAAAGAACCTGCGCACCTTCCCTGCACTTGTCTGTACCAGGAGTGTTACTGAAAGCTTACTCAACATCAGCATGATACATAGGAAGTCAAAAATCAGTTTAATTGCGTCGGTATCATTTACATGCAGTAAAATTCACCTTTTCCAGGTCTACAATTCTGTGAATTCTCAGGCACAGAGGCAGGTAACCACCACTACAATCAGGACATAGACCATTTCCATCAGTGCAGTCGTTTCCTCCTGTTCCTTCACAGTCAACCTCCTCCCCCCACCCTCCACCCCTGGCAACCACTGATCCTGTTCTCTGTCCCTGCAGCTTTGCCTTTTCCACGGTAAAGGGATTCACACAGCGTGTGGCCTTGCGAGCTGGCTTCTTTCACTTAGCACAGTGCTCTTGTTGTGTGCATCAATAGTCCGTTCCTTTATGTTACTGCATACTAGTCTCTTGCAAGGGAATACTGTAGTTTGTTTACCCATCACCAGGTGAGCAGCATTTGGGATATTTCCAGTTTGGGAATCTGAATCAACCTTCTCATACAGGTTTTTATGTAGACATGGCTTTCTATTTCCTTGAGTAAATACCTACAAGTGGGGCTGCTGGACTGCATGATCAGTGCGTGATTATGATGGCAACATGTGAGGGAACCAACACTCCCCTCCTCGCCAGCACTTGGCATTGTCCACAAACTGACTCTAAAAACAGTTACCAATAGTTTCTAAGGTTGCAGAGTTTGGTTGGTTTGCTTTGTTTTCCAAAAGCAAGGCTTTTGTAGGCTTTAGATCTCGCCAAAGAAGTTACTAGTGAGATAAAATTTTCTTCTGGGTAATTGCACTCTTAAACTATGTTTTTCCCCCTCCTATTATTTAATGAAAACGTTTACAGCCAACATCCTTAAAACCCAAGCTGTAAGTAGGGCAGCAATTGGTCCTATGCACGGGGGGTATTTTTAGACATTGAAATGAGGTTGTATTTTCTTTAAAAGGAAGATTTCAACTTCCTTCATGCTGTTTTGAAAAGAACGTGAAGATTCCTGCATTCTGGGGAAAACTGAAACTGTAATTAGAACAATGCCAACTGTTCTCTTTTCTCTTGCAGGAAATGGCTTTCTTAAAAAAAAAAAAAAGTTAGCTATCTATAGATACACACAGATGATTATCTACTTCCAGAATTATGTGCAGTCAGTTTAGAATATTGAGTTGCTCCAATTGCTTCTAATTCCCTTCATGGCCCAAACAAAGTGATTTTCCCCCAGTCCATTCAGGAATGCTACAAACTAATGGTAAATAATCAGCATTGGTCCAAATGGAGCATAAATAGAGAACTCTGTCAGCAAAATACCTGTATAAACCAGCATCAAGACAAATACAGCTTGAAGTATTCACCATCTTTGGAGCATGGAATCATAGGTTTTCATTAGCCTGGGAACTTGAGAATAAAATGAAGATATGGCAGCTACAGGTAACAGAGAGAAAGATGCGGAAGAGAGACGCCTGGGCAGGAGTCTCCCTCCCTCGCTGGCCTGTTTCCCAGCAGCCGTTCGTTCACAAGCCAAGTGAACAGTGTTTGTAAGATCAGCCCTTTGCAATAAAGCATAGAGGCTTCTGTGAAGGTTTGAGCTAATAGACCCGGAAAGAATCATTGACTGTTTGAATTGCTGGTAGACATGGGTACTGGCTTAGTTTTGCTAGAATGGCTTCTAGGGGCGTCTCTGGAGGTCTTTGGGCCAATTGCCAGTCAGGTCCTGACTCTAAACTACAAACAACAAATATATATGTAGTATTTGTATGTCTCAAATATTGTATGGGGCATGCAGATACTGAAAGTTATTTCTTGTTTACCTGCAATGCAAATTTAACCGGACATCCTATATTTTTATTTGCTAAACCTAACAATGTTGGCCCTCATTGATGCTTTCTGTACACACAATGGAGATGACATAAACACCAGATATCCCGGTGTTTATTCTCCCTTATTAGATCATTGCAAAAAGATTTCTTCTCATTGAGTATTTTAAAGGAAGGGCTCTAGTGAAAGCTCCATGTGAGTACAATATGTGTGGGAAATTTCCTCTTTAAGGATCACTGTGATCGGGGCTGGAAAATGCCTGGCTGGCCAGGTTACTTTCCATGTGGCCCATGTGTCTAGTTCAGAGCTTTCCAAAGTTTGTCATTATGGAGCCTTTACCCGTGACCCTGAGCTATTTCGTGGACAAACAACTTTAGGAAATGCTACAAACAACACCACCTTGGAGAGTCGGGGGGCTTAAGAAAGACCATAGGAAAGACTGTTGTTGCCTTTCTGGAACAAAGAGGTGGTCAGTCTCTCTGAAGACGTGAGTTGGAGCCCCTGCCTGTGGAATGATCAGAAACCCAGTCCTTTGTCAGGTTCCCTTCTGAGACTCTTTATAGAACCCTCAAGCCCTGTTTACATATTCATTTTTCTGACAGGGGCCTCGGATGGAGTTGAGTCCACAGTATTCAGTTGCTAGCAGGGAGCTTACATGGTCTATAAATTCTTAGAGGTGTCAGCTCTCTGGGCTGAACTGCACTCTATCTACATGTCCCCTCTTGCCACTTTGTCACCTGCTGGGCTCTCCCATTTGATTTGCCCATGCATAGACACTAGCTTGCTCCTTAATTCCCCTTCTCCAGGACAAAAGAGACTGCCATCTCCCCTGCCCCCCATGCTGGTAGATGTTTAACAACTGAGGAGGCTGATTCTGAGTGTTGGAACTTCCCATGGTGTAAATACTCCCACCGTGCTTATTTCAAGCTGCCAAATACAATGTCATCTAATGGGAATTGGGCAGAGAGGCACAGTAGCATACCCTCTGTAATATTTCCACCAACAGACACATTTGATTCAAGAATGTAAATAATAATGGTAGCAATATAATTACAAAGTGATGGGTTTTAGTATTTACTAGGTATTAACTTTGTGTTTAATATAATGCATTTAATTGTAAGTTATTTAATTTTGAATGGTGGCTGTGTTTAGCAACCAACTTGCAAAATTCCTGAGAATTTTTATAATCACCTATTGCAAGTCCATACAGCTAGCTCCAGCTTCAGGGTACCTTCTCCTCTGCCTTCAGCCTCCATCCAAATTGCACCACCCAAGCCCCACCCACTTCTCCCATCCCCACCGAAGCGAGGGAATGCACTTGACACCATTCTTGTCCTACCCAGAATCCAGGCCCAACTGCTTCCCCCAGGAACACTCTGCAGATTAATAAAGACAGATTTGTATATTATTATAGAAGTCCCTTTATCTTGAGCCACTTTACTGCAGAATAGGACATTTGCTTTACTTTGCATAAACAAAAGGACAATCAGCATATTTTCCCCAAAGCAAAAGAATCAGCTGCTCCCAAAGGTGA